AGGTATATCCTGCTGTGTATTGTCACTTGTTGGGAAGGTATATCCTGCTGTGTATTGTCACTTGTTGGGAAGGTATATGCTGCTATGTATTGTCACTTGTTAGGAAGGTATATCCTGTTGTGTATTGTCACTTGTTGGGAAGGTATATCCTGCTGTGTATTGTCACTTGTTGGGAAGGTATATGCTGCTGTGTATTGTCACTTGTTGGGAAGGTATATCCTGCTGTGTATTGTCAACTTGTTGGGAAGGTATATCCTGCTGTGTATAGTCAACTTTTTGGGAAGGTATATCCTGCTGTGTATTGTCACTTGTTGGGAAGGTATATCCTGCTGTGTATTGTCACTTGTTGGGAAGGTATATCCTGCTGTGTATTGTCACTTGTTGGGAAGGTATATCCTGCTGTGTATTGTCACTTGTTGGGAAGGTATATCCTGCTGTGTATTGTAAACTTGTTGGGAAGGTATATCCTGCTGTGTATTGTCAACTTGTTGGGAAGGTATATCCTGCTGAATATTGTCAACTTGTTGGGAAGGTATATCCTGCTGTGTATTGTCACTTGTTAGGAAGGTATATCCTGCTGTGTATTGTCACTTGTTGGGAAGGTATATCTTGCTGTGTATTGTCAACTTGTTGGGAAGGTACATCCTGCTGTGTATTGTCACTTGTTGGGAAGGTATGTCCTGCTGTGTATTGTCAACTTGTTGGGAAGGTATATCCTGCTGTGTATTGTCAACTTGTTGGGAAGGTATATCCTGCTGTGTATTGTCAACTTGTTGGGAAGGTATATCCTGCTGTGTATTGTCAACTTGTTGGGAAGGTATATCCTGCTGTGTATTGTCAACTTGTTGGGAAGGTATATCCTGCTGAATATTGTCAACTTGTTGGGAAGGTTTATCCTGCTGTGTATTGTCACTTGTTGGGAAGGTATATCCTGCTGTGTATTGTCACTTGTTGGGAGGGTATATCCTACTGTGTATTGTCACTTGTTGGGAAGGTATATCCTGCTGTGTATTGTCACTTGTTGGGAAGGTATATCCTGCTGTGTATTGTCACTTGTTGGGAGGGTATATCCTACTGTGTATTGTCACTTGTTGGGAAGGCATATCCTGCTGTGTATTGTCACTTGTTGGGAAGGTATATCCTGCTGTGTGTTGTCACTTGTTGGGAAGGTATATCCTGCTGTGTATTGTCACTTGTTAGGATGGTATATCCTGCTGTGTATTGTCACTTGTTAGGAAGGTATATCCTGCTGTGTATTGTCACTTGTTGGGAAGGTATATCCTGCTGTGTATTGTCACTTGTTGGGAAGGTATATCCTGCTGTGTATTGTCAATTGTGCACCATTACTTCCAGTCAGGTCACATTACATTTCTTCAAGCCAGAAATAGAAGGTTTTTTTTGGTTTTTTATTTAATAGAAATGATGTGCCAAGATTGTTTCAGAATGGTTACATTTGTTTTATGTTCATATGAGATTTGTAATAATTCATGTCACAGGTGAAACTGAAGCAAGCTGAACACAAACACTCACTTTTTCAATGGGGACAAAGGAAAGTTCAAGGTCACCTGTACACTGAAATCTGAAATAGTTTTCCTGATCTTGTTGTGACAGAGTCAATTAAAACAACCTTCCATGTGCTCACATACCTTTTCATACAGTCTGAGCATGTTGCACGGTCTTTGGTTGGAATAAGACATGAGGATTCACCATTTAGTGTATTTATTACACAATGCAAATGCCAATGAAAGAGAGGTGGTTGATATTTCCAATATTTATTTGTAAAAAAACAATAGTAGGGAATTCTGTGTATCATTTTTAGTGTACAGTCTCAGTGTAGATTTACTGAAAAGGTAGTACTAGGGATATAGAGGATGCTGTCATTTTCAATAAGTGTCGTTTGACTACCACAGGACTTAAAACAAGAGTAATAAAATTGACACCGTCTAAGTTTTATGAAAGTGTGCTACTGTAAAACAGCATATCCTCATACGTTCAGAAATTGTCATATTATTTCCAGCTGGTATCTGTGACAAACAGCTTTGAAAGAGCTTGGAGTCGTAATCCAATAAATATGCAAACAAGGAGACCTTGCAGAAACTACCGATCTCTATACCAATTAAATGGATCTGTTCAATGTCTGATTTCTCAGTAAACTGTCAACTAAACTTCCAATAAAGTTCAGATGGCATGTGCAGGATATGCGGAGAATTATATAGACAAACAAGACTCCAAATCATTTGGAACTATTTAATAAATTATGCTTTATTCATATGCAGTTTCAAAAATCTACTTCACAAAGCAAAACTTAATACTTTATTTAAATTATTTATTTAAATCCATTTATTAAGAAGAAAAATATTATGGAAATGTTTTGATGTTGATTTTATACCTTTATCAGTCTAGTAGGTCAGAGGAATGTCGAGGTTGTGGACTAATCTCAAGCCTGTGTCATCAGTCACTGGGGTGGGAGTCCTCCCCAGGTTATTCTCTGTACAAAGAGGATCAAGACTTTCTGGAGATGTATGAGATCATTGAGATAAACTGGAGGGATGAGGCACAACACTTAGGGATGCTGTGAAAGAGGTGGAGGCCATTCATGTTTAGAAATTATGTTTGATAATTTTTGTCTGACACCTTGTGGTCTCTGTTTTTGTAAATAATGCAAGAAATACGGGAAAAAATCCTTAACTGTTGTCTTTTAACAGCAAGTGAAGTGCTGGTAGTTTTGAGAGTATTAAGTTTCTTGTATCAAGCTATTCTGCAGTTTGGACCTATCCATTATCAAGTGAAGGATGTGGGTAAGAGAGTGTGGTCAAATCACCCCATTTCTTGTCTCAAGCTATCATGCAGTTTGGACCTGTCCATTATCAAGTGAAGGATGTGGGTAAGAGAGTGTGGTCAAATCACTCCATTTCTTGTCTCAAGCTATCATGCAGTTTGGACCTGTCCATTATCAAGTGAAGGATGTGGGTAAGAGAGTGTGGTCAAATCACTCCATCCTTACCATAATCACTGTAGACAAACTGACTGGACAAAATGATCACTTGTGGTAAGAGTGCTCCACCATATAGAGACTTCCCAGTCACCTGTGAGAGTAGCAGTCCAGTACCTCCTGTAAACACACTGTCACACTGATGTAGAAACCTAAACCTGTGGGGTAACATTAACAAGTTGAGCCAGGACCAAGCCACTGAAATAAGGAGTCATTCTGTCGCATGTGGGGATATCATAAACATTTCAACCTTAAAGGTCGTTTTGATGTTTCAAATCTAGTCCACATGATAAACTTCCATACTCAAATGTGTTTAATCACTCACATAAGAAAAATATATAGTGTTGATCACATTGAACATGTACATTGAAATATAGAAGTGTAAAAATGTTGGAAGACTGGCTTGGAACATTAAAGATACTGTTATCACTGACACTGTATAGATTGCAGTATATGTTGTAAGAGAGTGGCTGCTGAAACCTGTCTGATGATGAGTGTTTTCATCCCAATGATTGTGCCTTCCCTAGCCCGTGTGTGCATTACTGCACAGAGACAGCAGTGATGTCTGTCTGTTGACATCTTACAGCAATCAGTGAGACAGGTCTATCAATGAGACAGGTCTATCAATGAGACAGGTCTGTCAATGAGACAGGTCTATCAATGAGACAGGTCTATCAATGAGACAGGTCTATCATGAGACAGGTCTATCAGTGAGACAGGTCTATCAATGAGACAGGTCTGTCAATGAGACAGGTCTATCAATGAGACAGGTCTATCATGAGACAGGTCTATCAGTGAGACAGGTCTATCAGTGAGACAGGTCTGTCAGTGAGACAGGTCTATCAGTGAGACAGGTCTATCAATGAGACAGGTCTATCAATGAGACAGGTCTGTCATGAGACAGGTCTATCAGTGAGACAGGTCTATCAGTGAGACAGGTCTGTCAATGAGACAGGTCTGTCAATGAGACAGGTCTATCAGTGAGACAGGTCTATCAATGAGACAGGTCTATCAATGAGACAGGTCTATCAATGAGACAGGTCTGTCATGAGACAGGTCTATCAGTGAGACAGGTCTATCAGTGAGACAGGTCTGTCAATGAGACAGGTCTATCAGTGAGACAGGTCTATCAATGAGACAGGTCTATCAATGAGACAGGTCTATCAATGAGACAGGTCTATCAATGAGACAGGTCTATCAATGAGACAGGTCTGTCAATGAGACAGGTCTATCAATGAGACAGGTCTGTCAATGAGACAGGTCTATCAATGAGACAGGTCTGTCAATGAGACAGGTCTGTCAATGAGACAGGTCTGTCAATGAGACAGATCTATCAATGAGACAGGTCTATCAGTGAGACAGGTCTATCAATGAGACAGGTCTATCAATGAGACAGGTCTGTCAATGAGACAGGTCTGTCAATGAGACAGGTCTATCAATGAGACAGGTCTATCAATGAGACAGGTCTATCAATGAGACAGGTCTATCAATGAGACAGGTCTATCAGTGAGACAGGTCTGTCAGTGAGACAGGTCTGTCAATGAGACAGGTCTATCAGTGAGACAGGTCTGTCAATGAGACAGGTCTGTCAATGAGACAGGTCTGTCAATGAGACAGGTCAATCAGTGAGACAGGTGTATCAATGAGACAGGTCTGTCAATGAGACAGGTCTATCAATGAGATAGGTCTATCAGTGAGACAGGTCTATCAGTGAGACAGGTCTATCAATGAGACAGGTCTATCAATGAGACAGGTCTATCAGTGAGACAGGTCTATCAGTGAGACAGGTCTATCAGTGAGACAGGTCTATCAATGAGACAGGTCTATCAATGAGACAGGTCTGTCAATGAGACAGGTCTGTCAATGAGACAGGTCTGTCCATGAGACAGGTCTATCAATGAGACAGGTCTGTCAATGAGACAGGTCTATCAATGAGACAGGTCTATCAATGAGACAGGTCTGTCAATGAGACAGGTCTATCAATGAGACAGGTCTATCAATGAGACAGGTCTATCTAGACAGCCGTTTGATTCCCATGGCACTGTTTAGGGTTATCTGAGAGTCAGTTTTCCTCGTCACTCTCAGGTTCATCTGGGAGTCTGTTTTACTGACCAAGCTTATTTCATCCTGGTCACTCAAGAGCTCTTCACTGATTTCATCACCATTTAAACTTGGTCGTCGAATCGTATTCTTCTCTTTTCCTTGAGCATCAACAATTCGAAATGCTTCCAGAAACTCATTAAAGTCTATTTTTCCATCTCCATTAAGATCGAGACTTTTGGCAATGTCTGCGATATGCTGAGGCTGCAGCTGCATGCTGGTGTGTCGAGTGAGGATGCTGCAGGCCTCCTCAAACTCCTCCATTGAGATGTAGCCAGAGTTGTCTCGATCAAACATTCGGAAGATGGTCTCCAGGCTGTCCTTGTGGCGATACAGCATCTCGGTCAAGGTGGGGCTGTTGTGCTGGAAGTGTACAGATGTATGTCAGTAGAACACCTGGTGTCATGTGTAGCAGTGCAGCAAACATTCACTGAATAAATATCTTGATTTGTTTCACATTGATCAACAAGTGAATGTGTTCCAAACTTACTCCTCGTCACTTACAGTGTACAGCAACAGTGTGTTAGGTGAGATTATGTCCAACAAATCAAGAGGAGAGCACAATATCTCCTCAAGTTATCATTGGGGAAATTGTTGATGCCATGCCATGTGAGTGAATGTTTGACAAATCATGGGGACTTGACGCCACTAGTGATACATTCATATCAAGTGTGATATAACTAAACACCCAGTTTTCCTTTTTCTTATTCATCCAACACCATCACTTGACAGTTCTTTAAACACACCTGTTATTTTCAAGTATGCACGACTTTATTTTAGAGAATATGATTACACGATTGTTCTGATGTGTACTATACTGAGTCAAAAAAGAAACTTCACATTCTTTCTTCAGGGCACTATAAAGACCAAGAGATGGTAAGATGGTTAAATTGTTATTATTTCATTGCTGAGATCTGTGTGATGTACTCGATACACTGACAGTGCCATAATCAGTTCCATTAGGCTACACCGCCGTTCCAAAACATGGGTATACAGAATATCAAGTCACAAGAATAAAAATGCGAAATTTCTCAGTTCAATATCGTGTATGGCCGCCCCGCGCATTCACCACTGCCAAACACTGTCTCCTCATCGACTGCCTGATGCTTGTGAACACGTGGTTGGGGATTCTGCGCCATTGGTCTTGCAAGGCAGCGCCAAGTTCGTGCAAATTCTGAGGTTGGTTCCTAAGACCACGAAGCCTCCTCCCAAGTGCATCCCAAACGTGCTCTATTGGATTAAGGTCAGGGGACCAGTCCATGACGTTGATTCCAGCGTTTTGAAGGAAATTTCGTGTCAACATCGCTGTATACGACCGAGCATTATCATGCTGGAACTGTAGACCTGGGCCATGAACCGCCATGAAAGGAACGAGTTCAGGGGCGAGCACCTGGTCGCGGTAAGCAGCAGCTGTGAGGTTTCCACGGATGACCAGAAGTCGGGAACGGTTGTTCCCACAGAAATCTGTCGACTTCCTGTACACAACATTGGGCATACCGTTCACGACGTCGTCTCCAGACTCTATGCCTGCCGTCCGCGAATCTGAAGGTAAACCTGGATTCATCGCTAAAGACGACTCGATTCCAGTCTCTCTGGGTCCATCGGAGGTGACATTGGGCCCACAGCAGACGTTGACGTTGATGAAACGGCGTCAATATTGGCCCACGATATGGACGTCGAGAATGGAGATTGGCAGCCCGCAACCGATTTCGAATGGTCTGTGAGGACAGTCGACCTCTAAACATCTCAGCCCTGGTTCGTGTAGCCGGCAGAAATCTGTCACATAGGTGACATAGGAAGATTTGACGGTCTTCTGCTCGTGACGTCACACGTGGTTTGTTGTAGACGACCTCGCAAGTCATACACAGGTACGACGGCTGCATCCCATTGCTCTTGTGACGTCAATAACTGATCTTCCCGCTTGCAACATGCCAACGGCATGTTCACGTTGCACATTTGACAATTGTGGCATTTCAAGTACCGTTAGAACTGTGGTTTAAAAGTGTTTTTTTCAATTCTTGAGGCCAATGCAAACACATGCATATGAGGAAAACTTCGATGCGAAGATCACGTGATCGACTGCACGTGCAAAACCTGATTTGGCACTAACGTCATTTGCACGACGGATGGATGGGTTTGAGTGGGTGTTGCTAACGTTTTTCTAGAGTCGAAAGATAGGGATCCCATTTCGGATACATAGATGTATCATCAGAGAATAATTATTCATTATTTTTCAAATTACATTTTGTGAAGTTTCTTTTTTGACTCAGTATATATGTACTGTGGACTTTGATCAATCTAGTTTAGGCAGTATCTCTGTCAGTGCCTATCTCGGGCTCAGTAATAATAAACATATCTTACATGAACTCATATGAAGAAAAAGTTATAAACTGTCTGATCTTGTATCTTTATGAGTTGAGCAACAAAACCAATGTTTAACTAAATACTTACATTGCTGTATCTGTGTTGTACTTGAAGCTCCTCAAACATGGACTTGTACAACACCATGCCATCCTGGTCCGTCTTCACCATCTTGGGCTTGAGCATCCGCCACGGGACATCTACCTCCACCACCTCCTCCATAGAAGAACACCAGTCACACATGGATATCCTACCTGCAACAACCACAGTAACCCCCAGTCACATATGATATCCTACCTGCACATTACAGGTAAAACCCAGTCACACATGGATATCCTGTCTGTGTACATTACAGGTAAAACCCAGTCACACATGGATATCCTACCTGTACATTACAGGTACAACAAAGTCACACATGGATAGCCTACCTGTGCACATTACAGGTAAAACCCAGTCACACATGGACATCCTACCTGTACATTAAAGGTAGCCCCCAGTCACACATGGATATCCTACCTGTGTACATTACAGGTAACCCCCAGTCACTCATGGATATCCTACCTGTACATTACAGGTAAAACCCAGTCACACATGGATATCCTACCTGTACATTAAAGGTAGCCCCCAGTCACACATGGATATCCTACCTGTACATTGCAGGTAAAACCCAGTCACACATGGATATCCTACCTGTACATTACAGGTAAAACCCAGTCACACATGGATATCCTACCTGTACATTAAAGGTAGCCCCCAGTCACACATGGATATCCTACCTGTGTACACCACAGGTAAAACCCAGTCACACATGGATAGCCTATCTGTGTACATTACAGGTAAAACCCAGTCACACGTGGATATCCTGTCTGTGTACATTACAGGTAAAACCCAGTCACACATGGATATCCTGTCTGGGTACATTACAGGTACAACCCAGTCACACATGGATAGCCTACCTGTGCACATTACAGGTAAAACCCAGTCACACATGGATATCCTGTTTGTGTACATTACAGGTACAACACAGTCACACATGGATAGCCTACCTGTGCACATTACAGGTAAAACCCAGTCACACATGGATATCCTGTCTGTGTACATTACAGGTACAACCAGGGATACTCTACAACCTTATAGAGTCTCCCTGGTACAACACAGTCACACATGGATAGCCTACCTGTGCACATTACAGGTAAAACCCAATCACACATGGATAGCCTACCTGTGTACATTACAGGTACAACACAGTCACACATGGATAGCCTACCTGTGCACATTACAGGTAAAATCCAGTCACACATGGATATCCTGTCTGTGTACATTACAGGTACAACCCAGTCACACATGGATAGCCTACCTGTGCACATTACAGGTAAAACCCAGTCACACATGGATATCCTGTCTGTGTACATTACAGGTACAACACAGTCACACATGGATAGCCTACCTGTGCACATTACAGGTAAAACCCAGTCACACATGGATATCCTGTCTGTGTACATTACAGGTACAACACAGTCACACATGGATAGCCTACCTGTGCACATTACAGGTAAAACCCAGTCACACATGGATATCCTGTCTGTGTACATTACAGGTACAACAAAGTCACACATGGATAGCCTACCTGTGCACATTACAGGTAAAACCCAGTCACACATGGATATCCTGTCTGTGTACATTACAGGTACAACACACTCACACATGGATAGCCTACCTGTGCACATTACAGGTAAAACCCAGTCACACATGGGTATCCTGTCTGTGTACATTACAGGTACAACAAAGTCACACATGGATAGCCTACCTGTGCACATGACAGGTAAAACCCAGTCACACATGGATATCCTGTCTGTGTACATTACAGGTACAACACACACTCACACATGGATAGCCTACCTGTGCACATTACAGGTAAAACCCAGTCACACATGGGTATCCTGTCTGTGTACATTACAGGTACAACAAAGTCACACATGGATAGCCTACCTGTGCACATTACAGGTAAAACCCAGTCACACATGGATATCCTGTCTGTGTACATTACAGGTACAACACACTCACACATGGATATCCTACCTGTGCACNATTACAGGTAAAACCCAGTCACACATGGATATCCTGTCTGTGTACATTACACGTACAACACACTCACACATGGATATGACAACATCGATACTTCTGTTATGCATCACCTATGAGTATACTTAGTTTTCATTGTACACCTGAAGAGCCATTGAAAGGTGAAAGATCTTGTGCAGATAAAGGAGTTTTGACAAAAAGAAATATCTGGACTCATCTTTCATATGTTTATTGCTTATACACCTGCAGACTATATAAACAAGTGACTTCTGCAGGTGTATAAGCCACTCCTGCCTGAGTACATCAGTGGTGAAGGATGCCCTTCCTGTGTCCCTATGAAGGTGTGAGATAGCAGAACCAAGAAGGGAACCTTGACGGCTAGCGACATCAGCAATTCCAGAAAATGATCCAGAGAATCCACAATATGGTCATCCAATTTTAGCAATGCTTTGTACAAGTTGCCCTTTACATAATTCTATCCCACACTGTATGTACATCTAAACATATTCCAATATTCTTCGTAGCATATCACCACATCATGGCTTTTCTCAGTATGTGTGTTCCTGTATAGTCATAAGTCAAGACAGAGTACTTCCATCACCACGATCAAATGTTGGTATATTCACAAATGTTAACAAATGTCACAGCAAAATATGTATATAATATATGATATGCTCCATACTTGAAACGATGTTCAAAGTTGGCAGGAAGGTTTCAGATAGGTTTCCCTTATGTGTCAAAAGCAATAAATAATAGGCCCTGTAGTAAATGCCTGTGAAAACAGCACTGAATCACCCACATCACCTTCAAATGTACAAAGGCAGATAATTCAGGTACTCTAGTGGCTGCAGACCACTACTCAAGTTCAAGATTTTATGAAGTTCTTGAAAGGACGAACATAACTAAATGATACGCTTTATGGATAACAACTTATTTATATTTGTTATCATGATGTTTCAGAGCTCTTGACTCAGCAGTCACCTGATGAAGGAGCAAGAATTAGCTCTGAAACATCATGATAAAGAATCAAAAGAAGTTGTTATCCTGATACCACGTGTCAGGTTTTCAATATTTTATGAGCTCCTCAGTCTTATTGCCACAGCAATCAACAGCACAGACAAAGATATATACTGCCACTTTAACCTTTTGCCACATGAGAATATGTTCAGGTCATGCATGTGTGAAGGAATGCACTGCCACATCTTCCAGAGGAAAGTATGTTAACTGACTACCTTCTCTTTTAATTATCTTACTCAAGTGTTGTCCTACAATGTGCCTGCAATGATGTCTGTCAGGCAGGGTATGTGTAACTTTCTTGGCTGAACTTGATCAGATCTTCTTGACAGGGTGCCACCAATTTCCTTGAAGCAAATGCAGTTGATGTGAGTGGTGGAGCTTGAATGGTCAGAAGGAGGGATATAGAAGGGGAATAATACTCACCGATAGTGCTATGGCGGAGCCAAATTAGCCAAACTTAACTTTTCTGGTAAGTTAACTTCCTTGTTTTGAGAAGATAGTGCTGTGTCTGAGGAGGTCATAACCTGAGGGCATGGTATGCATGAAAACCTGTTGCGTTGTGTGAAGGTTATGACCTGAATGTATGAAGGTCATGAACTATATGTGTGAAGGTCGGTCATTGTCCTTGAGAAGATTGTGACATGTGTATGAATGCATGCACCTTGTGTTAATAATGTCGCTTGCTGCTTAAAGGGGCACTTATCTATGGCTTCAACCTGACACTAACATTACTGCCTAGATTACTGCTCCCTTGTTGTCATCCATGTGTGGTGAGTTCAAAACATCAATCAAGTGAGTGAGTGAGTTTAGTTTAGTAATATTCCAGCTATATGGCGGCAGTCTGTAAATAATCAAGTCTGGACCAGACAATCCAGTGATCAACAACATGAGCATCAATCTACACAATTTGGATACGATGACATGTGTCAACCAAGTCAGCGAGCCTGACCACCTGATCCCGTTAGTCACCCCTTACAACAAGCATGGGTTACTGAAGATCAATTCTAACAATTTATGGGTCATCAATCAAAGGATTAATAGATAATACATTGACTGATTAAGAACTGTTATCTTGCACAATAGATTTGTCAAACGTTAGTGTTTATCAATGTAGGTATGTATGATACACATAAGAAATTATTAAAATGCCAAGATAATTCAGTCATTTTACAAATTCACTGAAAATACAGATTGACTAAAATTCTTTATGAAGTTCCAAAGTGAATAAAAACATAACAGATTAATTATGATAATATTTAAGCCAGAAATATAGAGATGTACCTTTTTTTCAATCAAAACATTTTCAGTCACTGGGAGATGAAATTAAACTTTAAAATATTTATCCTAATAATCTGGTTGGACATTTTATTCAGATGGCAGCTACATTTCAGAATTTATGGCAAGATGAAACATCTTTGTTAAACAATGTGAGGATATGTCTTTATATGATCAACTGTGTTGACATGTGGCAACAGCAGAGATCACGAGCCAGTCAGGAATTCAGGGATATTATCAAGGAACCACAGGAAAAATAACAATGACCAAAGCAACAACCAGTCCCAGGGAATTGCTCCAGATCAGTGCCCCTTTAACACAGGAGTTACAACTGAAAGTCATACCAGTACCTATTTTCCAGAGATTGTGGTTGTTACCTGTGACTTTTATGTCATGCTTCTGGAACTGCTCCATCAGGTCTGATTTGAGGGCCAGGATCTTCTCCCTCAGGTCGTGTAGGGCTGAGGCCTCCAGCGAGCTGATCCTGCCATGACATGACGTGACACATGCAGTGGAGAACATGCAAGGATGGTGAGCAGCTGCGGGTGAAACTAACAGGAGTTGCTTCACAATGAGCATGATAAGCATTGTGGTGTACATCTGATTACCAGTCTTACCCTTTATTGGGCTAGGTTTTATGGAGGTTGGGGCCTCATTGTATGACAGGCTTTGAGATGATAATGATCTGTAGATTAACAACCTATTATTATATGATACCATATTTTACTCAAGTTGTGCTTCACCCTCTATATCTATGTGATTTACTCTGATATCACCGAACGTTGTGATTACCAGAAGAACCTTGTGCTAGCTGCTTCTCATTCTTGCATAACGCATGCAGGCACCAACTATTGATCGCTTCAGTCTAACATGCTATCATAAGAGCTTTCTAACAAGAAATAGGATATTACAACTTAAAAAACCTGTGATGGCAAACAAGTGTTACCATTTGTGCAAATGGTGTTGATGTTTGAAACATTACCTCTGAGTGAATGTGATCTTGCGGAGTCCAGTGGAAGCTGTGCTGACATATTGGCTGATGTGACACTGGAGGCTGTCCCCCAGCAGCTTCACGTACGCTCCCTTGTTGCTGCCGATGTCGTAGTAGTTGGAAGCAGAGAATATTGTCAGCACCTGGTTTAAAAGTGAAAATAGTGTCAGCACCTAGTTTACAAGTGAAAATAGTGTCTACCTGGTTTACACGTGAAAATACTGTGTTTACAAGTGAAAATACTGTGAAAACCTATTTACTGTTAACTTCTCATTTGTTGTTGACCTGAGTCAGAATTTGGCCTGTATTTGTAATAAGTTTAAGTCCAGTATTATTTTGAACTGAATACCCTGTATACAGGGCGATGGACTTAGTGCAATATTGCCCTTCACAATGGTTGTAACTTGGAGGTTCCAATATCAAAGATAGAGTGTTCAAGACAAGTCAGACCACTGTTATTGCTTGCCTGACAGATGTTTGTAGGACAACATGCCAAGGTAATTTTATTGGCAGTAGAAATTGTTGTTATATATTTGAACTAATTGTCAGTAGCAAATGATTGAACTTCTAGTAAAGAAATGTCAGGTACTGCTAAAACTAGATTTGAACAGCAGCAAATGGGGTTTTCTACAAAGTTTTTTCACAAAATTTGGATGGTGATGGTTTCATATTGATTATCTGAGGATTTGTAAAATTTGAATTTAAATTTGTTGTTGAGAAATAACCTAATATTGGATCATAAGCAGGTTGAGAAAACCCCTTGAAAGCAACAGCCATTCAAAACAAACAGATATTGATTATATAAAGGATATTTCATGTGTCTTGTGACTTGCTTCATTATGGGCTCTTGCATCGCAGAAAGGGCAAGGCAGAAGGGTAAATAATGTAGTTCAGGGACTGTGAGATGGACTACAGGGGGCAGTTACTCACAGTCACTCTGTGCGGGTGTGATCAGCTGGTCTGTGTGACTTTTCTTGGCTTGCTGACCCAATACGTTTGGTAGAATACATATGTTAACATGACCATGTATTGTGCTGTACAAGATTCTGGACGGAAAGCTTTGTTGAGCCATGAAGTAGTTCCAGCAACTATCCATACATTGTTATCCTTCCCTAGTTCCAGCAACTATCCATATATTGTTATCCTTCCCTAGTTCCAGCAACTATCCATATATTGTTATCCTTCCCTAGTTCCAGCAACTATCCATATATTGTTATCCTTCCCTAGTTCCAGCAACTATCCATATATTGTTCTCCTTCCCTAGTTCCAGCAACTATCCATATATTGTTCCAGTTCAGCAACTATCCATATATTGTTATCTCCAGCAACTATCCATATATTGTTATCCTTCCCTAGTTCCAGCAACTATCCATATATTATTATCCTTCCCTAGTTCCAACTATCCCTTCCCTAGTTCCAGCAACTATAGTTCCATCCTTCCCTATTCCATAACTATCATATATTGTTCTCCCTTCCCTAGTTCCTCCTTCCCTATCCATATATTGTTATCCTTCCCTAGTTCCAGCAACTATCCATATATTGTTCTCCTTCCCTAGTTCCAGCAACTATCCATATATTGTTATCCTTCCCTAGTTCCAGCAACTATCCATATATTGTTATCCTTCCCTAGTTCCAGCAACTATCCATATATTGTTCTCCTTCCCTAGTTCCAGCAACTATCCATATACATATATTGTTATCCTTCCCTAGTTCCAGCAACTATCCATATATTGTTATCCTTCCCTAGTTCCAGCAACTATCCATATATTGTTCTCCTTCCCTAGTTCCAGCAACTATCCATATACATGTATTGTTCTCCTTCCCTAGTTCCAGCAAAGTGATATTTTCACTGTGGTGAACATATTGATTTTCTGTGACTGCAGTTAAAAAATCACTTTTCTCAAACTCAGATATCTGAGCCCTTGAGGCTGTCCCAAAAACAGTACTACTTTTACTTTACCCTCGTAAAACTTTTAAAAAATCAAAACAAAATGATGATAGTTTGCTAAGTAACTTTTATATTTTGGAGACAAACATTGTGAAACTTTTTTCCTGGGTTGGTCTGATGTTTTCAATACATTCTGCGGTGAAATGAATGTTTGATCAGATTGTGATTCATCGGTATCATTTTGACCCAAACAGACAATAGATAGTTTTGAAGTTGTATACATTAGGTATGTTATCAACAGGAGGTATTTCCACCACCTACCCTTCCATTATGCATATACTCAAAGTTGTATACATTAGGTATGTTATCAACAGGAGGTATTTCCACCACCTACCCTTCCATTATGCATATACTCAAAGCCTTCAATCTTGCATTCATGACTTCGTATGAGCATCTTGAGGTTGTGCTTGTCCAGCACCTTGCGTGTAGTGTCTGGTCCAAAGTAGCACCCCCCTCCCCGGAATGTGTTGGGTAGACAGCCTGGGAGAGGCCGGGGGTCACTCCACAGAAGGTCTAAAACCTGAATATTCAGACAAAATAGGTCACAGAAAAAGTCTAAAATAACAAATAAAGTATGTCCATAAATTTGAAGACTAAAACCTGTCATGGTTTCAAATTCCCACCCATGTCCCTCTTACAAAATGATACACATTTCCTTGATATACACTATCAAAAATACAGACCACCCTCTATTACCACATATTGCCACAAACTACCCTATATTGCCACATACTGCCACATGCTACCCTATATTACCACATATTGCCAAAGACTATCCTATATTGCCACATACTGCCACAGACCACCCTATATTACCACATAATGCCACAGACTACGCTATGTTACCACACACTGCCACAAACCACCCTATATTACCACACACTGCCACAGACCACCCTATATTACCACACACTACCACAGATTACCCTATATTACCACACACTGCCACAGACTACCCTATATTACCACACACTGCCACAGACCACCCTATATTACCATTACCACACACTGCCACAGACCACCCTATATTACCACACACTGCCACAGACTACCCTATATTACCACACACTGCCACAGACTACCCTATATTACCACACACTGCCACAGACCACCCTATATTACCACACACTGCCACAGACTACCCTATATTACCACACACTGCCACAGACCACCCTATATTACCACACACTGCCAGACTACCCTATATTACCACACACTGCTAGACCACCCTATATTACCACACACTGCCACAGACCACCCTATATTACCACACACACTGCCAGACTACCCTATGTTACCCTACACTTACAGACACACACACTGCCACAGACCACCCTATATTACCACACACTGCCACAGACCACCCTATATTACCACACACTGCCACAGACCACCCTATATTACCACACACTGCCACAGACCACCCTATATTACCACACACTGCCACAGACTACCCCATATTACCACACACTGCCACAGACTACCCTATATTACCACACACTGCCACAGACCACCCCACATTACCACAGACCACCTATATTACCACACACTGCCATACAGACCACCCTATATTACCACACACTGCCACAGACCACCCTATATTTACCACACACACTGCCACAGACCACCCTATATTACCACACACTGCCACAGACCACCCTATATATATTACCACACACTGCCACAGACCACCCTATATTACCACACACACCACACACAGACCACCCTATATTACCACACACTGCCACAGACCACCCTATATTACCACACACTGCCACAGACCACCCTATATTACCACACACTGCCACAGACCACCCTATATTACCACACACTGCCACAGACCACCCTATATTACCACACACTGCCACAGACCACCCTATATTACCACACACTGCCACAGACCACCCTATATTACCACACACTGCCACAGACCACCCTATATTACCACACACTGCCACAGACCACCCTATATTACCACACACACTGCCACAGACCACCCTATAACCAGACTGCCTACCTATATTACCACACACTGCCACAGACCACCCTATATTACCACACACTGCCACAGACCACCCTATATTACCACACACTGCCACAGATTACCCTATATTACCACACACTGCCACAGACCACCCTATATTACCACACATTACCACATGTTGCCTGATGTTTTCACCTGTTTCCACTCCTCCAGTTCCTTCAGCTCCAGGGACATGCTGTCCACACTGTGGAGGTCGGTGGGGCCAGGTGGACGCAGCACAGACAGAAACTGGAACAGCATCAAACTCCAGGTCATCTCATTACCTGTTTATCTTTACTGTTGTTGTTGAGAGTTTCTGTGATTGGAGCACTACTTCTGTTACAAGTCCATGTTATAGTGTGACAGTTACACGTTGCTGCTAGTACAAATACATGTATCACAGTGATACTGACTGAGTTAAGTTTGTAATGGTAATCAATTCTTTTAACAAGAATTAAATATTTGGACTGATTTGGCCCAAACTTTTGTTGTCCAGATGTTTTTCCACTTTGATGAGTTTTTTTGTTGGAACATCGCTGAAATTATGTAAATAGTTTGTGTAATATACAGAAGAAAGGAACACTTGATAGAACACAGTAAAACCTCTGTAGATACAGTGAATAGACATGATAAGGAATAGAATACCTTGTGTCTGTCGATGTGGTCAAGGGCCTCCAAGTTGACTTGTTCGGATATCCCACCATGCACTACCAAAACTTTATCGTCAATCACTGTTGCTAATGGCAACCAGCTGAAGATCTCTTCAAACATTTTGATAGCTTTGTCTGCATGGTGCTGGAACACATATATTTATAACCAGCTGATCACATGCCTGCCTGGAGAAAGTGAGGGCCAACAGCATCAATAACAACAATGATGAGCGTTATTTACTGATACATGACTGTTATTACGGATACTTGTCTCGTCAGAAGGCTGTCGCTTCATCACTCCGATGCTAGTTAGTGTGAAAATTGCCTGTAATTATGTACATGGCCATGAAGTGATTGCTTGTTATTGACCGTGAAGCATGCACGTACTGGCCATGACTGAAACCCTGAGGGAGTTGTGAGAAATAAATGTTGCTGTAAGTTATTGTACAAGCTTTCTTTATTTTTTTAATTTAAGGTTGTGAAAAAGAAAAAAGTCACCTACTTTGTATTTTCTCATGACTTCTTTAATAAAACCGTATCTGAAAAGTGAAAACAATATTTCAGTGCCTTGTTTGAAATGAGTTCTTTAATACATTCATGAATAACATAAACTTTGTCTTTGTCAAGGACTTGAAGATTTCATTCAGGTTGAAACATGTTTTGAGGAAAAGAAGATTGTCTAATTTACTTGCTGCCATGTTACAACAAATGCCATGAAGGAGATGACAGAATGGATGGTCCCTGTGCATGCCATGACAGAGATGACAGAATGGATGGTCCCTGTGCATGCCATGACAGAGATGACAGAATGGATGGTCCCTGTGCATGCCATGACAGAGATGACAGAATGGATGGTCCCTGTGCATGCCATGACACAGATGACAGAATGCATGGTCCCTGTGCATGCCATTACCTCATGTTCATGATGTGGTCTTCGTGATTGCCTCTGTTCAAATACACCTCGTTGGGATACACAACAAAACTTGCAAATAGAATTGTTGCAACTTCTACTGATGTGGGGCCTCGGTCAACAAAATCCCCATTAAACACATATGGATTGTCCACTGATGGCAGGCCATTCTGAAAGGTTAAGTGCCCTGTTATATTCAACCTTTATTCACTGTAAGTCGTTAATACATTAATCAACAGCAGTAGAATTATCAAGGGTGATTATGTCCTATTACTAGTTGTATATGGAAAAGAACAAATATTGAATATAAAAACCAATTTCAGAAATAGAGACAAGTTAACTGATGCACTAAGTGTATGACCCATTCTATAAGTTGCTGACTGTCTGTTCATCTTTAACAACACCTGTCAGAAAAGCAGAATTGGTCAACTTAAAATTGTTAAATGATTTAGAAAGATGCTTTCGTCCTTGATTATTGTATCTGCAGTCTGTCGTGATCAATACCACGGAACCACCTTAGCTTCATTTTGAGGCAGCTTTGAATTAGATGATGCTAAAAATAGATGTTGAGTCCAATTTGAAGAAGCAGTGATACCATCAGCACTTGTCTTGACATTACCCTGCCATTGCAGTTACAACCTGAACATTTTGCTGTTTAGAGACAGCCTTCCCTCTTCTTAGTACTCAGCTAAAGATCACAAACATAACCTTGTTATTTGTTTACTTTTGGAGAGCTTGTTTGGATGAGTCCTGATTGTAAATGTTCCCCTATGAAGAACCCATGTTTATAACAGGTACTTTTGTTGGTTTCAAGCTCATGAACGAGTGGAAATCTGCTCTAAGAACAAACATGAAGCTGGGGATTTTACCTCCAAAACGTCTAAGATAGATTTCAGAATGAAATAGAAATATTATACACTGGACGACATCTGCCATAGTCATGGTAGTTGCCTTGTGGACCCTTGTGACATACCTTATGGAAGATCATGTATAGGTCATCCAACTTGCCATGGAGATCGCCACACACTGTGATCTGCTTGGAGATAGATGTGGTTGCATAGTTGATGTTCCCTCTCTTTTTGAGGATCCGTCTGGCCTCATGTAACAACATCAGCAGGTATTTGACATGGAGTTGCTGACAACAGAAGATATCACATGACAACATCAGCAAGTATTTGACATGGAGTTGCTGACAACAGAAGATATCACGTGACAACATCAGCAGGTATTTGACATGGAGTTGCTGACAACAGAAGATATCACGTGACAACATCAGCAGGTATTTGACATGGAGTTGCTGACAACAGAAGATATCACATGACAACATCAGCAAGTACTTGACATGGAGTTGCTGACAACAGAAGATATCATGTGACAACATCAGCAGGTATTTGACATGGAGTTGCTGTCAACAGAAGATATCATGTGACAACATCAGCAGGTATTTGACATGGAGTTGCTGACAACAGAAGATATCACATGACAACATCAGCAAGTATTTGACATGGAGTTGCTGACAACAGAAGATATCACATGACAACATCAGCAGGTATTTGACATGGAGTTGCTGACAACAGAAGATATCACGTGACAACATCAGCAGGTATTTGACATGGAGTTGCTGACAACAGAAGATATCACGTGACAACATCAGCAGGTATTTGACATGGAGTTGCTGACAACAGAAGATATCACATGACAACATCAGCAGGTACTTGACATGGAGTTGCTGACAACAGAAGATATCATGTGACAACATCAGCAAGTACTTGACATGGAGTTGCTGACAACAGAAGATATCACCTGACAACACTAGCAGGTACTTGACATGGAGTTGCTGACAACAGAAGATATCACATGACAACATCAGCAGGTATTTGACATGGAGTTGCTGACAACAGAAGATATCATGTGACAACATCAGCAGGTACTTGACATGGAGTTGCTGACAACAGAAGATATCATGTGACAACACCAGCAGGTTTTTTACATGGAGTTGCTGACAACAGAAGATATCACATGACAACATCAGCAAGTACTTGGCATGGAGTTGTTGACTACAGAAGATATCACATGACAACATCAGCAGGTATTTGACATGGAATTGCTGACAACAGAAGATATCACATGACAACATCAGCAGGTACTTGACATGGAGTTGCTGACAACAGAAGATATCACATGACAACATCAGCAGGTATTTGACATGGAATTGCTGACAACAGAAGATATCACATGACAACATCAGCAGGTACTTGACATGGAGTTGCTGACAACAGAAGATATCACATGACAACATCAGCAGGTATTTGACATGGAATTGCTGACAACAGAAGATATCACATGACAACATCAGCAGGTATTTGACATGGAGTTGCTGACAACAGAAGATATCATGTGACAACATCAGCAGGTATTTGACATGGAATTGCTGACAACAGAAGATATCACATGACAACATCAGCAGGTACTTGACATGGAGTTGCTGACAACAGAAGATATCACATGACAACATCAGCAGGTATTTGACATGGAGTTGCTGACAACAGAAGATATCATGTGACAACATCAGGTACTGACTTCAACCCACCTGTTGATTTGAACTGATGAATTGACTCACCTGTTAATGTAATCTAATGCTTCAACCCACCTTTTGAATGTGAACTAATGCTTCAACCCACCTGTTAATGTAAACTAATGCTTCAACCCACCTGTTAATGTGAACTAATGCTTCAACCCACCTGCTAATGTAAACTAATGCTTCAACCCACCTGCTAATGTGAACTAATGCTTCAACCCACCTGCTAATGTGAACTAATGCTTCAACCCACCTGTTAATGTAAACTAATGCTTCAACCCACCTGCTAATGTGAACTAATGCTTCAACCCACCTGCTAATGTGAACTAATGCTTCAACCCACCTGTTAATGTAAACTGATGCTTCAACCCACCTGCTAATGTGAACTAATGCTTCAACCCACCTGCTAATGTGAACTAATGCTTCAACCCACCTGTTAATGTAAACTAAAGCTTCAACCCATCTGTTAATGTAAACTAATGCTTCAACCCACATGTTGATTTGAACAAATACTTCAACCCACCTGTTAATGTAAACTGATGCTTCAACCCACCTGTTGATGTAAACTAATGCTTCAACCCACCTGCTAATGTGAACTAATGCTTCAACCCACCTATTGATTTGAACTAATGCTTCAACCCACCTGTTGATTTTAACTAATGCTCAACCCACCTGTTTATGTGAACTAATGCTCAACCCACATGTTGATTTGAACAAATACTTCAACACACCTGTTTGGTCTTGAATGCCTTTATCAGTCCTTTCACTTGGATACTTGTGAGTGGAAATGACAAATGAGGACCGTTGTAGTTGGGCTCGATGGCAATAGTGTCAGGGTTCGTCAGTTCATGCAGCTCATCATCTTCCTCAGCAGTTGTGTCTGGAATCAACAGCCAACTGCATGTCATGACGGACAAATCAGTTATAATTACAGTGTGAGATATTTCTATGTTCAGTGTGAGATATTTGTATGATATGTGAAACATGTTCAGATGAAATTCTTGTATGACATGTGAAACATGTTCAGAGTGAAATTCTTGTATGACATGTGAAACATGTTCAGAGTGAAATTCTTGTATGACATGTGAAACATGATCAGTGTGAGATAATTGCTTGACCAACAAGATGACCACCATTTGCACAACAGGAACAAGAGTATTGAACCACTGTATCAGCAGTGTAAGCAGGGGAGTCCTATGAAGCACTGAACCAGCTGCTGGCCAAGGGATTATCCTCATCATGTTTGTTTGGTGTGTGTGGTCCTGTTCCTGTGCATAGACTGCAGGTCACAAATCAGGTGAAGGTAAGCAGTCATGGAGAGTCCTTGGATGTGTGACCATGTTTGGTAGCTTGACTCCTGAGAGTTTCTTCCACTTCTGCCCTGCCCCACAACAAAAAACACCTGTGGTCTCACCTTAGGCAGGTGTTTTTGTTCAAAATTGCCTCTGTTCACCTAGCAGAAAATAGGTACCTGGTGGGAAAAGTCATGTGACTATTAACCTTCTAGCGCCTCACAGGCAGCTTGGGTCATCCAGGGTGATAATGTCCATCATGTTGAATGCACTTAGAGCATGTCCCTGCGGCGTGGAGTTCAGTGCTGTGTAAGTGGCCATATTATTATTATTATGCCGGGGAGTCATATGAAACACTGTAAGGGACAGTAGCTGGCCAAGGGGTACTCCTCACCATGTTGTGTACATGTGTACACTGGAGGAGACCACTCACTGTGCTCAGGTGAATTTGAACCTACGACAATAGGAGCTGAATGTACTGGGCATTTACCCAATCGTCGAAAATACACAATCATGCTTTACTTAAACAAATGATTTATCTGTTCTTATTTTTGGTAAATTCTGTGGAATTTGGAGATGTCTGATCAAAACTGGGAATTTTTTATGTCGACTTTGGGTCGAATATCTGCCTCTGAGCAGGTCAAACTAGGTATTTTTTTCTCAGTTATAATGCAACAGCCATTGATGGTCTAGTTTACACCAAACATCAACAGGTTAACTTCTTTGAGTGGCATTTTAGAAGTTGGGAAGTACAATATAGAACAAACTTTATGGATAACACTCACGAATAAAAAGAAGTTGTTATCCATAAAGTTTGTTCTACATCAACAGGTTGGTAGTCATTAATATAAGTAATGAGGGGCATTTCCTGAGGGTCAACTATCAGGATATCGATATATCATCGTCCCTGCCGTGGAGTGGATTAAATTGCTGGCATTATGTAAAAAAGATTTGGTTCCCCCATAGTATAGGTTCCGTTGGAACTTTTCATTCCAATATTTGTTCCTGTAATAGTGCATGCGGAACAATTATTTCGTTCCGCACACACAGAATGTATTCCGGGTAAATAGGAACTTTCACACACATCCTAAAGTGACCTGTGACTAAGACCAGAATTGGCAGCGACGCCTTCTCAGTGACAGCCCCAGTTCTTTGGAACTCTATTCCCCTCAAACTCTGTTGCATCGACAACGTCTCATCCTTCCGAACTCACTTGGAAACCTTCCTTTTCTCTGGAGTCTCTCTACCCTAGATTTGTTTAGCACCGTTGAACAGGTGTAAGCTGGAGGTTTTGTTAAAAAATTGGGGCGTTTTTTTTTTGGATGGGAACGGAAAGGAAGAAAGGATTTTTCCAACGTTATTTGTTCCATATGGAACAAATCCTGTGGCTATCAAGAAGCAATTATCATGTGTGAAAGTTCCTTAATAAAAGACTCAATACAGTATTGTCGTCAGTGGCATCATTTGTCTTTATTGTGGGCATTGGTTTCATCTTTTGTTATGGCTATACAAAATAGCACTAAATAATGTCTATTTTAAAAAATCCAAATAAACACCATCACAATATTTGATAATATGCATTCACTTAGTGGCATTTAGGCCCGACCTAATCGCAAGCTAAACCTTAAATTTGTTTAACATCATATAAATCGGTGGTTGTGTAATAGGGCAACCTAAACTGGCATTAGATATGGTTCACCTTTCTTTAAAAATCTGTGCATCTATTTCAAATTATTATTTCAAGGATATATATATATAATATCTACATGTTGGGTGATAAGGGTCCTTATCGAAATCCGGACAATACTGAAGAATTGTTCAAATATCATCATATTTTAATTTGATCTACAGTTTTGGTAAACGTACAGTGATCAATATGGCACATTCTGATGGTTGCTAATTTCTGGTCACTAGTTATCACAAGCTTCAATGGAGCAGAGTTATCCTTGATCTCGTCCAATACATAGTTTTCTATGGCATTTTCCTTGTATATGTTTTCACAAATATACTCTACTAGAGCAGTGTATTCCTCTGCCCCCATTATCGGTCTGTTGCACCTTCCTGCTGTGTGTGGCAAATGGACGCTCGTTAACATGATTTTGACATAGATCTAACATGATTCACATGTATTTCGGGCTAGAGAAATCCCAGATGTTGACAAGTAGGATGAGTCCATTTTGCATTCAATAATTACTGGAATTGGTTAGGCCTACGGTATTTGTTCCTGTTCGATGGAATATTTGCCGTATGTGTGGGATTTTTATTCGTGTCATCCATTCTCTATTTCACGGCATATAATCCGAACCGGAACATTTACTACTCAGAACTAAATCATGTTTACATCAGAATGTAGTGACGAAGGCCCGAGTCCCATGTTGTCATGATGTTGAAATAGCCGTGTGAGGATCAATATTGCCTTGACATATGATTAATGTTATTCCACCGCTGTCATCATGCGCACAAACTACTTGAGCTTATTACAGAACTATGACCTTTGGGAAAACACAGATCAGCCCTTATTCATCGCAATATTTGTTGCAGTTGATTACAGTTTGCTAGCGTGATTGGCATATCCCAAGATTACTGGAATAGACACTACTGCACTGATGCAATCAAGGATCCGTGTTGGGGCAATGTCCAACCTGTGGCATATCAATCATATAATAAGCATGAAAACAAATAAGGATTCATAATAATCAGTTTGTAAGTGTCTGTAGAACAGTGTCATTATTTGTCTTCTAAGTGACATACATTATCCAAGTCCGGTGACAGCAAGTACATGAGCCAGGAGTAGTGATGTAGCCTGTGGCTTGATGTACTGCACCAACCTGGCTCTCAACATGGTCTCCAGCCGCTTACAAACCAGTCTCAGTCTTATCCAGCATGGTGGAAGTGCGATAACATTATCTGACCAAGTAGTACTCCGGCACCTTCCAATGTTAAGACCTCTTGGAGGATATCTCTCCTTACTCACCATATATAGTAGGATGATGGGTTGGACTGAAGGCGTGTAATATCTTTGGCTGAATAGTGTCTTTCCCATCAAACTCGGACAGCATGCTGTTGAAGAAGTTGTACAACTGCAAGGCAAGAAGATTGGTTTGGTCAGTCATTTACTTCATTGTCAAGTACAGCCAGTATCTTGCTGAGGGAAGTTGTTGACCTATAACAGAGTCCTAACTGTATGGCAAGAAACATGAACTCAACAGAACACAAGGAAATCAGGCAAGTCGGGACAAGCACTGACCTTATCATCTGTGACTAGCATCACAGTTATATATAAAGATATTTCTTGCAAAAATGCTACATGCTAAAAAGAACTGTAAATTTGTTGGAATATTTGTCTAACAAGGACACAATGCTCCAAGTCCCAGTTATCTGGCCTACACCATTTTACTTATCCTGCCTAATCTCCAGATGCCATCTGGCATCAGCAACCCAACAAACACAGAAGAACTTTATAGGCAACAAAGGGGAATCCCCTTGATTCCTTGCAGATGATGCTTTATATAATACTAAAACCTTTCACTGTGTGTATATGTTCATGTGCAAATATTACATCTACATATATGTGTGTATATGTTCATGTACAAATATTACATCTACATATATGTGTGTATATGTTCATGTACAAATATTACATCTACATATATGTGTGTATATGTTCATGTACAAATATTACATCTACATATATGTGTGTATATGTTCATGTACAAATATTACATCTACATATATGTGTGTATATGTTCACATACAAATATTACATCTACATATATGTGTGTATATGTTCATGTACAAATATTACATCTACATATATGTGTGTATATGTTCATGTACAAATATTACATCTACATATATGTGTGTATATGTTCATGTACAAATATTACATCTACATATATGTGTGTATATGTTCACGTACAAATATTACATCTACATATATGTGTGTATATGTTCATGTACAAATATTACATCTACATATATGTTCATGTACAAATATTACATCTACATATATGTGTGTATATGTTCATGTACAAATATTACATCTACATATATGTGTGTATATGTTCATGTACAAATATTACATCTACATATATGTGTGTATATGTTCAACATTACAAATATTACATCTACATATATGTGTGTATATGTTCGCATTACAAATATTACATCTACATATATGTGTGTATATGTTCATTACAAATATTACATCTACATATATGTGTGTATATGTTCATGTACAAATATTACATCTACATATATGTGTGTATATGTTCACGTACAAATATTACATCTACATATATGTGTGTATATGTTCACGTACAAATATTACATCTACATATATGTGTGTATATGTTCATGTACAAATATTACATCTACATATATGTGTGTATATGTTCATGTACAAATATTACATCTACATATATGTGTGTATATGTTCATGTACAAATATTACATCTACATATATGTGTGTATATGTTCATGTACAAATATTACATCTACATATTATCAGTGCAGAAATGGAGTTCAGTTAAAACACTCAACACAGCAATAAACCTTTTCAGACAAATTGCATATGATACAAAACGTTCCAACTTCCTTGTTGTCAACCATGTTTTATCATATTAAACCTACACCGGTATATTTTTCATGATTCATTTGATGCAATCAGTGGTGGCAACTCTCAGATTACCTGTCAGACTATCCAATACCATTCACCCCTACCCCTCAAGGTGTCGAGGATATATAGCAATCAGTGGTGGCAACTCTCAGATTACCTGTCAGACTATGCAATACCATTCACCCCTGCCCCTCAAGGTGTCGAGGATATATAGCAATCAGTGGTGGCAACTCTCAGATTACCTGTCAGACTATGCAATACCATTCACCCTGCCCCTCAAGGTGTCGAGGATATAAAGCAATCAGTGGTGGCAACTCTCAGATTACCTGTCAGACTATGCAATACCATTCACCCCTGCCCCTCAAGGTGTCGAGGATATATGGCAATCAGTGGTGGCAACTCTCAGATTACCTAACAGACTATGCAATACCATTCACCCCTGCCCCTCAAGGTGTCGAGGATATATAGCAATCAGTGGTGGCAACTCTCAGATTACCTAACAGACTATGCAATACCATTCACCCCTGCCCTCAAGGTGTCGAGGATATATAGCAATCAGTGGTGGCAACTCTCAGATTACCTGTCAGACTATGCAATACCATTCACCCTGCCCCTCAAGGTGTCGAGGATATATAGCAATCAGTGGTGGCAACTCTCAGATTACCTAACAGACTATGCAATACCATTCACCCTGCCCCTCAAGGTGTCGAGGATATATAGCAATCAGTGGTGGCAACTCTCAGATTACCTGTCAGACTATGCAATACCATTCACCCCTGCCCCTCAAGGTGTCGAGGATATATAGCAATCAGTGGTGGCAACTCTCAGATTACCTGTCAGACTATGCAATACCATTCACCCCTGCCCCTCAAGGTGTCGAGGATATATAGCAATCAGTGGTGGCAACTCTCAGATTACCTGTCAGACTATGCAATACCATTCACCCCTGCCCTCAAGGTGTCGAGGGATATATAGCAATCAGTGGTGGCAACTCTCAGATTACCTGTCAGACTATGCAATACCATTCACCCCTGCCCCTCAAGGTGTCGAGGATATATAGCAATCAGTGGTGGCAACTCTCAGATTACCTAACAGACTATGCAATACCATTCACCCCTGCCCCTCAAGGTGTCGAGGATATATAGCAATCAGTGGTGGCAACTCTCAGATTACCTAACAGACTATGCAATACCATTCACCCCTGCCCCTCAAGGTGTCGAGGATATATAGCAATCAGTGGTGGCAACTCTCAGATTACCTGTCAGACTATGCAATACCATTCACCCCTGCCCCTCAAGGTGTCGAGGATATATAGCAATCAGTGGTGGCAACTCTCAGATTACCTAACAGACTATGCAATACCATTCACCCCTACCCCTCAAGGTGTCGAGGATATATAGCAATCAGTGGTGGCAACTCTCAGATTACCTGTCAGACTATGCAATACCATTCACCCCTGCCCCTCAAGGTGTCGAGGATATATAGCAATCAGTGGTGGCAACTCTCAGATTACCTGTCAGACTATGCAATACCATTCACCCCTGCCCCTCAAGGTGTCTGAGGATATATAGCAATCAGTGGTGGCAACTCTCAGATTACCTGTCAGACTATGCAATACCATTCACCCCTACCCCTCAAGGTGTCGAGGATATATAGCAATCAGTGGTGGCAACTCTCAGATTACCTGTCAGACTATGCAATACCATTCACCCCTGCCCCTCAAGGTGTCGAGGATATATAGCAATCAGTGGTGGCAACTCTCAGATTACCTGTCAGACTATGCAATACCATTCACCCCTGCCCCTCAAGGTGTCGAGGATATATAGCAATCAGTGGTGGCAACTCTCAGATTACCTGTCAGACTATGCAATACCATTCACCCCTGCCCCTCAAGGTGTCGAGGATATAAAGCAATCAGTGGTGGCAACTCTCAGATTACCTAACAGACTATGCAATATCATTCACCCCTACCCCTCATGAGGTGTCGAGGATATATAGCAATCAGTGGTGGCAACTCTCAGATTACCTAACAGACTATGCAATACCATTCACCCCTGCCCCTCAAGGTGTCGAGGATATATAGCAATCAGTGGTGGCAACTCTCAGATTACCTAACAGACTATGCAATACCATTCACCCCTGCCCCTCAAGGTGTCGAGGATATATAGCAATCAGTGGTGGCAACTCTCAGATTACCTGTCAGACTATGCAATACCATTCACCCCCCCTGCCCCTCAAGGTGTCGAGGATATATAGCAATCAGTGGTGGCAACTCTCAGATTACCTGTCAGACTATGCAATACCATTCACCCCTGCCCCTCAAGGTGTCGAGGATATATAGCAATCAGTGGTGGCAACTCTCAGATTACCTAATAGACTATGCAATACCATTCACCCCTACCCCTCAAGGTGTCGAGGATATATAGCAATAAGTGGTGGCAACTCTCAGATTGCCTGTCAGACTATGCAATACCATTCACTCCTGCCCCTCAAGGTGTCGAGGATATATAGCAATCAGTGATGGCAACTCTCAGATTACCTGTCAGACTATGCAATACCATTCACCCCTGCCCTCAAGGTGTCGAGGATATATAGCAATCAGTGGTGGCAACTCTCAGATTACCTAACAGACTATGCAATACCATTCACCCCTGCCCCTCAAGGTGTCGAGGATATATAGCAATCAGTGGTGGCAACTCTCAGATTACCTGTCAGACTATGCAATACCATTCACCCCTGCCCCTCAAGGTGTCGAGGATATATAGCAATCAGTGGTGGCAACTCTCAGATTACCTGTCAGACTATGCAATACCATTCACCACTGCCCCTCAAGGTGTCGAGGATATATAGCAATCAGTGGTGGCAACTCTCAGATTACCTGTCAGACTATGCAATACCATTCACCCCTGCCCCTCAAGGTGTCGAGGATATATAGCAATCAGTGGTGGCAACTCTCAGATTACCTAACAGACTATGCAATACCATTCACCCCTGCCCCTCAAGGTGTCGAGGATATATAGCAATCAGTGGTGGCAACTCTGATATTACCTAACAGACTATGCAATACTATCCACCCTACCCCTCAAGGTGTCAAGGATATATAGCAATCAGTGGTGGCAACTCTCAGATTACCTAACAGACTATGGAATACCATTCACCCCTACCCCTCAAGGTGTCAAGGATATATAGCAATCAGTGGTGGCAACTCTCAGATTACCTAACAGACTATGCAATACCATTCACCCCTGCCCCTCAAGGTGTTGAGGATATATAGCAATCAGTGATGGCAACTCTCAGATTACCTAACAGACTATGCAATACCATTCACCCCTGCCCCTCAAGGTGTCGAGGATATATAGCAATCAGTGGTGGCAACTCTCAGATTACCTAACAGACTATGCAAAACCATTCACCCTACCCCTCAGGCTGTCTAGGATATATAGCAATCAGTGGTGGCAACTC